GAACTGGGATCCATATTTTCAGCCGCGAGAGGGGAAAGAGGGGAAACGGCATTTAGGGCCTGTTCTGTTTGGTTCGAAAACACAAAACAACGATGAAAACAGGTACATTTCAGATGGTTTCTGATAGGAGAAATTTTTAAAACAGCCCATTTTTCAATTTGAACTGGGATCCATATTTTCAGCCGCGAGAGGGGAAAGAGGGGAAACGGCATTTAGGGCCTGTTCTGTTTGGTTCGAAAACACAAAACAACGATGAAAACAGGTACATTTCAGATGGTTTCTGATAGGAGAAATTTTTAAAACAGCCCATTTTTCAATTTTATTAGGCAAAATCGACCGTCCCAAAAATAATTAGCAAAACCGACCTAAAATGGTCGATTTTGCAGTTACGGAACTGCACGGGACTAGTAGTCCCGTGCAGTCCGCCTACCCCACCAGTTCCCCTCTTTCCTTTTTTTCTTTCGTTCTTTCTTTCAGTTCTCTTCGCGTTCTCCCCCGAAAAAAAAAAGCCTTTGAGCCTTCGACCCCGCCGCCGACCACCGCCAGTTGCAGTCCCCGCCGACCCCGCCGCCGCTCTAGTTCGTGACCGATCCTTCGACCCCCGCCGCTCTCGTCTTCGAGCCTTCGACCCCCCCCCAAAAAACCCTAGCCTTCGAGCCTTTGCCGCCGACCCCGCCGCCGCTCTCGTGACCGATCCTTCGACCCCCGCCGCTCTCGTCTTCGAGCCTTCGACCCCCCCCCAAAAAACCCTAGCCTTCGAGCCTTTGCCGCCGACCCCGCCGCCGCTCTCGTGACCGATCCTTCGACCCCCGCCGCTCTCGTCTTCGAGCCTTCGACCCCCCCCCAAAAAACCCTAGCCTTCGAGCCTTTGCCGCCGACCCCGCCGCCGCTCTCGTGACCGATCCTTCGACCTAGCCTTCGAGCCTTCGAGGTATTATAGATTTTAATTGGTTAATTTCTGTCAGTTTTAATTTTTATACTGGGTTTCTGGTTGATTTTGGGGGTTCTGGAAATGAGTTTTTTTGATAATTTGGGAATTTGATGGGGCTTTTATGTTCTTTTTAATTGATGCTAATTTGAGTTATTTATTGGATTTTGTTGGTTGAGGGGTATTGTATAGGTTGTATAATGTGATATAATGTGATTTGGGAGTTATGGTTTAGCCATTATTTGGGATTGATTAAGGTAATAAATTTGATGTTGATTTATTCAGATATTAATAGATTATTTGCATATGATGGACTGTGTATTTTCAGTTTCGATGACGAACTTCATATCGATTGTTTGTTTCTTTAATGGGAGCCTCGGCGTCGGAGTGAATAATTTGCCGGTGTATGATGGAGGTTCTCGGAAAATGTTCATGCTATCTAAGTCGTGTAATTTTGATGGAATGACTAGGGAAATACACAGAGTTACTAAAATTAAGAAAGAAGAATATACAATTAGGGTGTTCTTCAATTGTCCGATAAATGAGAGTAGAACTATTGCCGTGGAGATTACCGAAGATGAGGAATTGAATGACATGAAACAATTAGTCGAGAAGCAAGCGTCAATTGAGTTGTTTATTGAGAAGTATCCGATTCAGGAATTTGCCCAAGTTTCACGACCTCAAGGAGAGTTTTCTCGGATGCTTGACTTAGACAACGAGTCGATTGGTTTTATGACATCTCCAAGTCAAGAGCCATGGTCTCAACCACAACATTTAAGTGAGTATTCTATCGGTGGGACGTCAACTAATATATTTAACGACGCTTCAGGTCATGTTACGGGTTACCCACCAGTCGGAGCAATTATAGAAGATGAAGCAGATGATGATTCAGATCATTTTGAAGAAGATGGCGTGCAAATTGATAGCATGCATGTGGCAGCTGGAATCGATGATGACGCCCGTTGGATGGAGCAATTTAACGTTAATAATGATTATGTGGAAGCTGAAGATCCATTGCCCGACGAGTTTCATAATGAGGATTGGATAAATACTTCTCAAGCTGGATTTGTTGATGTTGGTCCAAATTTACAACGACCCGAGGACTTCACTTTTAAAAAAGGGGATCTATTCGAGAGCAAGGAGGCACTGATCTTTGCAATCCGAGAATGGTCCATCAAGAATCGGGTCAAATTCAAGCCGGTAAAAACTAATGCAACAAACTACAATGTGAAATGCTTCTTTAATGATAAGAATGAAGTAGAGAACGCAAATGAGCAAGATGAGAGAAATAAAAAATGTCCTTGGTTGCTAAATGCCGCTGTGAGAAAATCATCAAATGGGCAATTTGTAATATGTAGATATTGCGGACTTCATACATGTTGCAACCCGTCGGTGGATATCGATGATTATTCTGCATCTTCTTCTTATATATGTAAGCTAATTATGCCTGAAGTTAGATGATCCTTTGCACTCACAATGTCGATGATCCTTTGCACAGGCGGGCTTTGCCTTCGGGCGAGCTTGAGCCCCTCCAAGTTCTCCAAGTTCAGGCAGGCTTTGCCTTCGGGCGAGCTTGAGCCCCTCCAAGTTCAGGCGGACTTTGCCTTCGGGCGAGCTTGAGCCCCTTCAAGTACAGGCGGACTTTGCCTTCGGGCGAGCTTGAGCCCCTCCAAGTTCAGGCGAGCTTGTTATCTCGCCTGTGCAAAGGATTCGCTAGTTTGCTATACTTCAAAAATCTTATCCTTTGAGCTGGAACTTATAATCCTCATTTGCCTTAGTTTGCAGCTATTTTCTCCGATGAGGCCCTTCCTAGGGGTCGTGCCATCGGTCTTGCGGGAGGTACGGGCTTCGCGGCTCCTCCAATATTCCCGCTTCTTGATCCGATACCCGTTTTCGATGTTGACAAGGCCACGGAGCTGAAGCGGAAGATATCCGAGGGGAACCATCTTATACTGATACGGGTGTATCTTCTCTTCGGGAGCTTAGCGATCCTCATGGGAGCTTGAGAATAGATGATTCTCATGGTATCTTGAGAATAGAGCAGCTGGCCTCTGGCCGGTCGACTGGCTTGGTCACGGCGGTCGACCGCTTAGTGCACATGCCCAGACTATGTCTCGGGACTGAGAGCGGTCGACCGATGATGGTGCTACGGTCGACCGGAAACACTGTAATCGATTTTTCTAGTTTTTCGTCGTTCTGACCGGTCGACCGCCTTGGGCACTGCGGTCGACCGCGTAGCGGTTCCGGGCCTGGGTCTGTTTCCTGCTCCAGTTGGGATTTCTG